CGACCATAAAGATGTATTTTCCTTGATTCCTAAATTCCATGTTTTAGCAGGAAGTGTTATTTATCGGTTGCCTGAGCTTCAGTATATCATCATTCAATCAATAGGAATTACATATTGAATATGATTTTGCTGGTATCTCAATTGCTTAGCCATCATTCAATTGATGATATCAAATATAAAGGGTCACAATATATGAGCATTGTTTGTTTGTATTTTTTTAATACACGTTGAAGATGGTTTAGTTATCAATCAAAATCGGCACCTTCCAGCTCATGATCACATATTTTTATTTAATTCCTACTTTCTGTATTCTGAATGCTTTCAGGTATTGTCTTGCCTGATATTTCCCTACAATAAATCGTAAAATTAGATATAAAAAAGGGTTTCATGATAATTATCCCAAAAAAAATAAAATAAAAGGGGTTCTTGGATAATGCGATAGAGGCTCTTTTGGGGATTCAAAATCTTGAAATTGCTTAATTGATTTTCATGAAAATAGGCGATGAACCTCTCTCTTCCAATTTATAACAACACCTAATTTATCTAACTAAAACAAAATTTAAAAAAAGGGGGGGGGGGGGGGGCGGGGGCTCTAAATCTGGGTCACCTCTCAATGCGATTGTGGAATCCAGAGATCCATATCCTTGTCAGTAACAGAAAACCTCTTCTGCCTGCCTCTCTCCTCCTCTTGCATCTTCTTATAATCAAACACCTCGAGCCGCCGCCATCAATTGACCCTCTCGACCGCAAAATCCGACGGCTGGGGGCGGCCTCAATGCTGAATCTGCGGCCATCTATCATCGTCCCAGAGAAGGAAGAGAAGAAGAAGAAAGAGGGAGGCAGGAAGCATTCTCGATCGATGGTAGAAGAGCTCGAAACCTCCCAATTTGTTGGTGTCCCCACAGGGCATTGCTGAGCCTCGATCAAGGCCCGAGAACGCCGCATTGCGATCGATGGTCTCCGATTCTAGAGAGAGAGAGTTCTAGAAAGGGAGAAAGAAGAGAGAGCAATGTAAAGCTCGATCTCTATATTCGCTCTCTCTCTCTCCCACCCTGGGCTTTCTTCCTTCCTCCCCTCTCTTATACGAGTGGGGAAAGGAAGCTTTTTTTTTAAGTCGTACAGCGCGATAGGAAATGGGGGGGGTTCAGCATACTGAGCGCGGTCGCTTTTGTCGACGTGGCGGGGCGTGGAGGCGTGGGGCTCAAGATTACGTGGAGGCGGCGGATTGGCGACCAAGGGTGGGTGGGGGCCAGGAGGCGGGTCGGCCCGTGGCGGAGAAGGGAGACACGCGGGGAGCGCGTGCCGCTGCGGGAGAGGCACGTTGTTTCGCGCCGAGAGAGGTGCCGGTCGGTGGCGTGGGCGGCGAGATTCGGACCGCGTCCGAACAAGGGGTGGGCTGGTTTGGCTGGGCGGCCATACGGTTTTAAACAGGGTAGAATTTCACAAAACCCCCCGAATCTCCCTGAGAATGGGATGATTTTGTTGAAATAAATGATTCTTAGAGGGGTTTTTATGCAAAGATATCATTTAATGATTTGATTCCATAGATGAAAATTAAAATGTGTCTAATTAGTAGCATGTGAGTTTTAGTCCCACACATTGGCTAATTAAATGCATTTTAGTTGGTTTAAATTAACACACGTGTTATTTATGGCATAACAAATGTGTTAGTATTACACGCTTGTGTTGGTATATAAGCGAGCGTGTGAGTGCGAGCGGGACCGGGCGTGCTCTTTTTTGCACGTGCAGTGCTTTAAAACAACTTAAACGTTTTGCATATGCTCACTGAAAACCAGCTGAACGTTTCGTATGTTACAAACGTTACAAGGATTGAATAAGTTTTATTGCAGACATTACAAACATTACAATAAGTAAAATTCAATCATTTGTCTCCCGTGAACCTTATAAAAGGGTCTCTTCTGATCATTTGAAATACACAGAACATAAAACAAAATCTCTTCTTCTTCTTCTTCTCTCAACAATTCTATAAGCTGTTTAATTTTTACGATTCTGGTGAACTGAAAAAGCAGTCGAGGTGCTCATGAGAAGAGAGCGCTTCATTGGATTGCAGCCGTCTCATCCTCGGAAGTACTGTGCAGAACCAACGCTACCGTAGGTGAGGCGTAGTTTCTTCAAGGACAGTACTCCATTAAGAGGGCAATTTGGCATTTCTATAAAGTATTTCGAATTTGAAGTATTTTTAATAAGATGGTTCTAACTTTCTGCTCTTTTCTTTCATTCCTGTATGGTTTGTTCTGTACTGCTTTGGATCTGTTTTTATGCTTAATTTTCCCAACAATCTTGAAGAAACTAATATTAATTGAACTTATGTCGTCTGTTTCTAGGGTTGGTTCATATGCCTCAAAAATAGACATGTCTGCAATGCCTGAAAAGTTCGCTGGATAGTTCTTCAAACGTTGGCAATAACGTATGAAGATCTGGCTGACGATTAAGGGGCTGTTGGCTATGATATTAACAGAATGCCCAAAACTAGATGAAAATGATCCTAATAGTGCAGATAAAATTGCACAATGGACTGAGAAGGACCAAATAGCCAGATGAGCATTTTGTTGGCTCTGGCCAACGTGCTCTTCGATGTCTATTGTTCTTCTTCG